TCTCTTTTTAGGATTCCAGCTAATAACCGAAGAATGACAAACTCTATTTTTCAATCCCCCAGTGAATCCATGATTCTAGGTCTCATCGGTGGCTGCTAACATCACAAAAAGAGACAACCAGACATTAGTGCCTCCTGAATGAAAGGGCACATCACATCTGTGAAGTATTCTTGCCAGAAAATTCCAACCTAAATGTGATTGAGCTTCTAGACCAGTGCTATCCAATAGAAACATAATGTGAGCCACCTATGTAATGGCACACCCCAAACTAGTCGCACTTCAAGTGCTCAACAGCTGTGTGTGGCTACCATATTAGTTTAAACACTAACTTATAGGATATATGCGGAGGGATATGGTGTGACAAGGGAGCAATTGGCAAGACCAAGACTGTGGGAACACTTTAAGAAAACTATTTCGTCAAGAAATAAATTGCAAGGGAAAAAGAGAAAGAGTGACAGAGTATAAAAGTACCCAAGAGGGAGCAGGAAGGAGACCTGGAGATTATCAGAAATTTAACACACATCAACCAACAACATATTGACTGTATTTAGATTCTGACTTGAAGAAAATGTAAAACATTTATGAGATAGGGAAGTTTGAACAATGACTGGCTGGGTATTTGCGATATTAAGGAGTTACTCATTTCTTTAAATGTGATAATGGTCCTGTGGTTACATTTTTTAAAACCTGTTTAAAGCTACATACTGAAATATTTATGCAGTAATTTGATGTCTGGGATTTGCTTCAAAATAATCCAGGGTGAATGGTGGATGTACACATGAAACAAGATTGGCCATGAGTTGATAATGATTTGAAGCTGGATGATGGGTATATGGAAAAAAATTATACTATTCTCTTTATGTGTGAATATATTTGAAATTTTCCATAGTAAGTTTAAAAAAAAAAAAAAAGACTGTGGGGTAAGATTATAATGACATTGCTCATATTCTTGAAAGTTCAATTCATTAAAGGCATTATTGAGACTTTCTTCCTAAACCTGTGAAGAACCAGTGGCTGGTGCCACCACTACTACACACAGGCAATAAACCAGGAAAAACTTACAAAATAAAAACCAACCAAACAACAAAAATAATACTTATTTTATTAAATCCTTGCAGAGGCCAAATGGGAGTAAAGAGGGAAGGGATTTTTCTCCACCTGTGGTTAAATGCTACCCTCCCCTTGGGCTTTGCTGCCTGAGTTTTTCTCAGTCCCCCCATCACACTCCCTGTCCCCATCAATGCAGATGTCGTAGTAGCAAGGCTGTCCAACCACCAAACATACATCATACAGTTCATCTTTTTATTTGTACTCTTCCTGCATCTCATCAGAGAGCAAATGGTGGACATTTCTAACAAAAAGGCACACAGGGCTGTGTGGTTATGTGAGGCTAATCATATCAGATTCTAAGATTTATAAGCTCAGATATACACGCTGGAGACATGTGGCCCTCATTCTTTGTTAACTCTATAAAGCATAATATATAAATTAAACAATGCAAATTAACAAAAAAGGGACAAAGGCATTATCATCTTGTCCCAAGAGCTTCCAACTACAGTACACAATATTGTTTCCAAAGTTGATGGTTTCCTTTCCTGCTTACCAGAACTGGATTTTGCGGACAAAGTTTGGTGTTTGAGATTCACCTTCCTGTAGCAAATGCCTGTTTAATAAATTTGAATTTTGGAGTGAAAATGTGTTTCATTAATGTGAAAGTGTGTT